AACAGTGCTGTAGTAGTACAAAAGGGAAGAAACAGATTGAAACGGTTAAAACCAAGGAATTAAACAAAGGCATAAAACAATACATATATTTTTTTTTTTTAAAAAAGAAGTTCCTGAACCACAGGATTGGTCTGGGAAGGAAGACACACCAGCTTTGTCCAGAACAAAAGAGTGGCATGTTTATTGTGTCAGAAGGCTGTTTCAAAGGAATGCGTGAGGTCATCATCGCACCATTTCAGTGCCCTTGAGGCTCCCAAAGCCCTTGAATGAACAGGGTTGCATTTTGTCAAAAAGTCCAAAACAAGAGATTGGCAGTGAATCTAGTAACCAACCACCGTCGCATCTGGTCTTGCCCCACCCTTAGTTTCTCTCTTTCTCTCCAGAGGTTCCTTCCCTTGGAACCTTAAAGAGAAAAGTCCAGCTGCCTCTTTAAATCTTTCTGCTTTTCCTGTTTGTCTTGGCTCCTGGGTGGAAGAACTGCAAATGCTGAAAACTTTCTGGAATGTTGGGGGGGAAGAAACGCTCCATGCAAATTCAGCGGATGAGCTAAATGTTTTTAATTTTTGGACACTAAGGGGCGCCAGTTCTTTCTTTTTGGAAAAAAAGTTGTAAGATAACATATATAGAAATATAATATATATGTATTTTTTTTTACGGTGCATTACAAGCTTTTAAGCCAAAGCCAACAAATGGACCAACACTTTTTAGATGTGCGACTTGACGAGTTTAAAGGCTAAAAGTTATGTTCGCACATATTTCTGATTTTAGCTTTTTGAATTGGTGCAATTCTTCCCTCCCCCTCCCTATCATGGAAAAAAGATTGCTCAACTTCTGTTAGAATGCAGTGAGATTTTATGAAGTGATGTTCCTTTTTTTAAAACACACACACACATACAAAAAAAACTAGATACTGTCAGTAGTTCGCTGCACAGAACGAAAGTCTTTTTTGTTCAAGTGGCATTGTAGATCTGTTAAACAATTATAAGTGATCTTGGGCAAGTCACATGCTCTCAGCTTCAGGGGAAGGCAGTGGCAAACTTCTGAACAAATCTTAGCAAGAAAACCAGATGATAGGGATGCCATAAGTCAGAAACGATTTGGAGGCACACAGCAACAACAAATATGTAAAGCAACTTTGAAAACGTCCTGGAAAATTGGTATTTTTGGTGGAGCAAAAGAGAGAATTTGCTGAGTATACAACTTGTGCTAATTCTACGTTTTTCACCACAATAGCACTAACTCCAATAGTAGTTCTAGCTAGAGTAGACCCATTGAAATGAATAGAATTTGTTAGTCACAGTTGATTTCTGTCCAACTGATTAAATAACGCTACTGTAGATAAGATGGGTTTTGGATTTAATCCTTTAATGTTAGGATGATTAGATCAGGTGATGTCAAGTTTTAAAAAGCTTTTAAATGTTAGCGAATTGACATTTTTATGTAACATGGGACATTCCAGTGAATTTGTTGAAAATGGTAGATACCTTTAAGGTACCCTTAAATGGTCTCTGTTCAATTCAGGTACAGTGTTTTAAAATATTTGCCTGTACAGTAAGGGGAAAAATTCTAAAATAGTGTGGATTCTCTACATCATTCCTAGCTTTTGTTTCTAGTTGTAAATGTGTTGGCCACTATCCAGAGATACCCCTTCTCTTGATTCTGCACCATTTGCTAGACTCAGCATTTCCCTTTCTTCCTTCAGCTCCCTGTATCCTAAAAATCTTCTTTGTGAAGAGATTGTGGAGCAGACTTGGCAGTACAGAGGGCTAACCATTGGATCTTGATCCATATCTAGTAACAAATATATCTAGAGCTGCATAATAAATATGAGGCTGCTTTTTTCCTTGGTTGATAGCAGCTTGTAAGAAATGGGAGCTTTCTCCAGTTTAGCAGGAGCTGTAAATTCAACAGTTGCTTGCTAAAAGGTCCATCACAAACACTAATAATGAAACACAAAACTAAAAGCTGTTATTGTTAGTAAACAGAAACTTGTTGAATTCTTTAGTTTCATCATTGAAGGTTAAGTTTGAAATCCTGCTGAGTGATCCAGATAGCATGCATCTACTGACGTAGGCAAATACACATTCAGAATTGTTCATGTGGGATTTTTTCATTGGAGGCTTTAAGTCTTAACTTATACTTAGGTTGCATTCTTGTGGATATTTACCTGGTTGAATGCTCCATTGAACAAAGTTAGGTATATTTCTTAGGAGACAAAAAGAGGAGTGTTCTGATTAGAAATTAAACTCACTACAGCTAAACCAATTTAACGAATGTTTAAAAAGTAACTAAGGTCCAAAATACACTGCAAAAATAATCTCCCTGGCTCGGTGCTAGGGAATCTCAGGAATTGTAGTTTGTTGTGGCACCTGAGCTCTCTGACAAAAGGCTAAATGTCTCACAAAACTACATTTCCCAGAATTCCCTGGCATTGAGCCAGGGCAGTTAAAGCAGTCTCAACTGGATTATTTCTGCAGTGCTGATATAGTCACTGTCTCACTCCACTGTAGGGTCACAACAAGCTACAATTCCCAGAATTCCATAGCATGGAGCCTGAGGGTTTGAGAGTTGTTAAACTGGATTATCCTGCAGAAGAGCAGACACAGAAATCAGTGGAAACTAAAGTACCAGAAGTAGTACAACCAAACATCTAAATACATACAACTTTCCCCTTGTTTTATTTCCCTTTTATGTAGTATTACTGGATCTGTTATGATGGAATTAAAATGTTCAGTCCCTACTATACAGTTTTGCAATTTTTGTAGCTAAATGTTCTCTCATAATTGTAAAGCAAATTGTGTACTGAATCTATAAAAACATTGGAAAGAGTCCCTCTCAGAAATTTTCACTTAATGCTTGCATAATGGACTGTTTCAGAGGCTTGCAATGTAGGATATGTAATTTTGAGACATTTCCAACTTGTTTTATATTCAGTCCTTGTAAAGGACATTTTCTAGAATTATATGTATAAACGTCCAGTAACTTAGAATAGTAAGAGGCTCAATAAATTTAGTTATTTATTTATAAATAGTTATTTATTTATTTATAGTTATGATGTAACAAACAATCCACATTCCCACAAAAATAGTTAAAAATTATAATTGTAATTTCCTTATAGTTTGCCCCAGTTTCACAGAGCAGTGGAATACCTAGAACACTCATCCTTTCTTTTTTGATTTTCAGTATACAGCATTTAAATTAAAAATAAGTTGTGTACTTCAACCAATTTTAATAGCAGTTTGCATTTGGACAAAGGCTACGTGCTTAAATCTATCTTTCTTGAAGAAGCTATTTTTCTTGAACCTTCTTTAAGATGACTTTACTCTGATAACCTGACATTAATCCTGTAATAAAACATTGAACATTGGGCAGAGCAAATGTGTCAGGATGTTGCATCATTTGCTACTTTAGTTTTCAGGGTGTTTTTTAAAAACAAATAATATGCAAAGACATTTTCTCTTATCTCAACTATTTTCTGACAGTTGTGGCACCAGCTGCAGCATATTATTTCCACTCTTGAGTGTTGTTTTTTTTTTTTAAAATTCTAAGACATAGCAGAAAAAAAGTCTCTTAAAAGTTATAGTGCCTCAGTGAAATAACACTTTTGCACTATGCATTAAGGGGGAAAAAAGGCATTGCTTCCGTTAAAAAAAAAAAATAAGAACTTTGGAGGAACTCTAGTACAGATTTATATAATTATTGCCAATAACTCCTCCCCACCCTCCAGGACACAAAGCAGGCAACAACTGGCAAAATCCAAGGAGGTATATTGTGAGAAGTCATTCTTCCTTAGGCTAGTCTGGAAGAGGCCATTCTGTCTCAGAACTAGATGTTTTTTCTCAGGAATCATCTGCCATTAAAAAACATTGGCATTTTACAGATCCCTTTTAAAATTCTAAAATATGTTAGGAATTAATGGAATTCTTACTAAAAACATGTGATTCCAAAACAAAAAATTATGGGACTGGACACTTAAAGTTTAAACCCTTTCTCAAAAGGGCCATCTGCAACGATGCATACATTTCACATTAGTCTTTCTGATCTCTTATACCTGCAGAAGTTTCTGAGCCTGCAGTTGGTTTATTGAACAAATTCCGTAACAAAATCCCCTTATAACCTCTCTCAAGTGACATTCTTTCTCTAACAGGTAAATACAAATATTGCTTGTGAGAGAAATGTGAAACTTATAGTTCCCATGTAATGTTGGGTGGGTTCTAATCTCTAAGCACCAAAAGAGTCCTAAGTGAATGAAGATCACAATGTACACATTTCAGAACAATACAATTTATTCCCTTGAAAATAATCAGAAATTCAGCTTCCCCAAAAATAAAAATAAAAAATCAGGAAAAATTCCTGGCTACCTGTAATGGTACAACACCTTTACAGAACTGTTACATCTTGGTTTACAGTAAATAAGTGGTAATAGTTTGTGTGGCCAATTCTGATTACTTTTTGCTGCATGAAAGCTAGAGTTGAATGTTTATCAGTATCTTCCTATTAGAACAGAAAGGATAGTAAGGTATTCAAAGTTTTCCACAGACCTATCTTATGACACACCATCTACATTATATTCACTGATAGTCTGTTGGCAGCTATTTTTTGTTTCTGATTCTAAAACTAATGGCAAAACATTAGGAACTGAGTAATTATTGATTTTTTTAAAAAATGTATTCCACATTGCTTCAAATAGAATGCCATACAAAGGGCTAAAGCAAATTTAGTCCAAACTAGATTATACCTGTTGAATAGATGTACATTATTAAATCAATACGTGGTATTATCTCTAATTTTTAAGTAACAGTTGGTCCATTAATCCTGCTCATATTTTAATGTCCTGTCTAGCTCTATCCTAAATTTAGCCGACAACCCCAATTAGAGTTAGACCCATTGATTTAACGTTCAGAAATTCACTCTCTGGGTTTGTGCTTGTTGGAACTAGAAATTGTACTTGGGCCTGGTTAAATATTTCAAAAATATTTAGTGTGGTATTTATCAAAACAGGCAGTGTCATGTAGTGGTTTGAGTGTTGGACTACGATTCTGGAGGCCTGGGTTCGATTCCCTGTTCCCCCTTTATTGAATCTTCATTGCATTTTTATTTTGATTTTAAAAAGTATGAAATTTTGCATGTGTTAGATAGTTACATCAGTTCTCATTAATAAACAAAGACTGTTTAATATATGGAGTAATTTATGGGATATATGTGAGCTAAAAGTATTCTAAAAGCATGGTTTAAAAAATACTTAAGGGTATTTATTCTGCTCTTCTGTGAGGTTCTAAGGGTGAATGTTGTTCCAGATAGTCAAGATATACGTAGTAGAATTGCTGAATGGAAAACAAACATGTTCAGAGAAGTGCAGTTACATTCATGAAGATTTCCGTCAAACTTATTTAAGTGAAATTAAAATGCAAAACATTATGTAGATTGGAAGCAGGATTTCCCTTTGGAAGTTAAGATTTGTGCTTCAAAATATGGCTTGCTATTATGCTTCTGGCTCTAAATTACAGAAATAATGGAATTAGATTGCAAATTACATGTAAATGTCATAATGCCTAGCAGTATGACATGCTTTTGAATAAATTGTTGTGTGCCTTCAAGTCGTTTCTGGCTTATGATGACCCTAAGACTAACCTATCATGAAGTTTTCTTGCCAAGGTCTGTTCAGAGTAGGTCTGCCATTGCTTTCCTTTGAGGCTGAGAGCATGTGACTTGCCCAAGGTCACCCTGTGGGTTTCATGGCTGAGCAGGGAATCAAACCATTACGCCACATTGGCTGTTTAAATAAATACCACACTAAATATTTTTGGAATATTTCAATTAGATACTACACTGTGTCTTATTTTATTGACCAGTATGTTGTATCCAGATGTATGCAGGGCATTTTTAATTTTACTAATCTCAACCCATTGAAGGCTTTCATGCTAAATCCCTTGCTGTTCCAGAGAATCTCAGAAGCTTCTGCAAAAATCGAGAGCCCTGGCCTACATGAATGAAAGAGTCTTTCACTAGTAGAAAGTCACTACACTCGTTCGTCCCTGTTTGTGGACATGCCGTCCGCAGTTTTAGTCGTTCGCAGACGGCAAGTGAGGAGGGACAAAATGGTGCATGTGTGGGAGCGCGTGGCCATTATAACCAATGGGGCTTGAGTATTTGCAGTTTTTCCGATTTGCGGGGGTCGTGGTCCTGTAATGGATCCCCGTGAATCGGGAGGGATGAGTGTATTTGTTAAATCTTACGAAAGATCATATTTATACAGTGGGTATAAATTTTGAAGATTGGAGTGAGTTTCTGCCTTTGAAACCCATGGTTTCCTTGATAGTGGTGAAAGTGGATTTACAAAAACTCTGAAATAATGCCCCCCCTTTTTTAAATAGTTGAAAACATTTCACAGATTCACAGGTGTTGAGACATATCTGATTTGGTTTGGACGAATGGTCTGCACAGGACACACCTTAGTGTACACCCAATCTTACTTAGTATGCAAAAATGTTGTATACATCATATAGCATGGGTAGGCAACCTGTCCCCTTTAAGGGCCGAGGGACTTCAGCTCCCAGAAGCCTCAGCCATGTTGGCCAATAGTCCCATGTTGGCCAATAGCTCCTGGGATTCTGGGAGCTGAAGTCCCTCAGCCCTTAAAGGGGACAGGTTGCCTACCCCTGTCATATAGGAATCTCTCTCTCCCTGTTGAGATATAGGGTTTGTTTGTGAGGTGAAACTCTGTCTTATTCTCCAGTGATTTCCACTAGATGAATAGCAGTTCCAGAAACCAGGGCGAAAGCTGATCAAAAAGGCTGGGGGTAATTGGATGGGGTTGTCCTAGGTCCATTTTGGCAAACCTATAGCATAGCGAAGCCATTTTGGAAGGCATACAGAGAGACGGGTGGGTGGAGGAACAGGCATGCTCCCGGGTCTTCAGCTGCCTCTCTTTCCCCCACCTTCCTGGGCCTTCAGCTGTCTTCGGAGAGGCAGCTGAAGGCCCGGGGGGGGGGGGGGGGGAAGAGGAGGAAGTCCCACCCCCAGAAGGCAGAAGTCTGCCCCCCAGAAGTCCCATCCCCGGCAACGGGTGACACCTGTTGGGGAATGGGCACTCAGAGATTCACCATCACTGTTAAACAGTCACACAAGGGGGCAGTCCAAGGTTTCAGGTTGTCTTAAATGCTACTATTTTTCGAATTGGAGAATGGGGTTCTAATTTTTGGGGAAGCCTTGAAAATGGTCCTCTTAAGCCCATTTTATTATAACGTTGTGGAATATGAAAGATACCATAATTATGTCTTGAAATGGGAGGGGTTATTACTGTGAATAAACCAGTTGCATTAATTTCACTGGAACAGAAGATAAAACTGGTAATCCATGGAGTCCATAAAGGAAAAGCGACCCCGGGGGGGGGGGGGGGAATTACATGCTTTTGGTTAAGACATACTAACAGGTGTTTTAAAAAATTGGATAAATTTCACCATAGCATATTGCCATTTAATGTAGAGCACATGAACTAATTCGTTGTTGGGCAGTTGAGTTCGGCGGAGTCAAATGTGAGTGCAGTCAAATGTGTTTATGTGTCATTGTGCATTTGTGCTTTTGTTGACCAACTGAAATGCACAATACATTTGTTGCAAGCTTTCGAAGCTCCACTGGCTTCTTCATCAGGCAAGATGTTACAAAACAACAGGAGAAAAAAAAATTGAAGATGTTAGTCATAGGCCTGTATTTTGCTGTTTCTCTTCCTGGTTGAGATGGTATGGGGAGGACATCTCTTGCAGGCTGACTCCTCTTTCTGGCCATGTGGAAACTGGGAACTTTTCCCCTCCTGTTTGGTTGTAACCTCTTACCTGATGAAGAAGCCAGTAGAGCTTCAAAAGCTTACAACAAACATATTGTGATTTTGGTTGGCCAATAAAGGTATCACTGGTGGATTTTTGTTTGAATTTGCTAAATGGCCAACACAGCTACTCCTGTATGTTTATTGTGTATTAGTGATAGCTTGGTACCTGTTACCCAACTAACAGGATTTTAGAGATGAATGGTGCAAACTTGTTCTCTTATTAGAATTTGTCTATATAATATGGCTCATTTATTCCAGCATTCAGAATTTGTAAAGGGTGGTAGAATGCAAAGTTACAAGTTAGAATGCTAAGTTACAGCACTAGGAATTTTCTTGCGAATTACAATACCTCATTGTTTATATTGTTTTACTATTGAAGGTGTTTGAAAAATCAAATATAATAGGCTATATTTCTGAGGAAGAGACCTCTGTGTATTCCTTGACTAAGAAAACCCTATGATACACATGGGTTCACCAAAGGTCAACATGTGATTTGAAGATGTGTGTGCGTGTGCGCGCACACAACACACACACACACACACTAGTCTGTGTAAATATGTATGATTTCAGTCCAGATGTTACTATTAGTATTGTGTAGCCAGCTCACTGTGTGTTTTTCTGTGACTATTTGGTTATTTTACTTTTGTGATGAGGACTTTCTGGAAATTTATATGGTTATACATTAAAATGATACATGAATGTTTAATTCCTAGTTTGATACAGTAGTGTGTGATGTTGAGTAAAAAAAAAAGATGTGTGTGCACTCCAAAAGATAGTGACCTTTCATATTTCATACTTTACAGCCTTATCCCTCAGATGCTTAAGCAGGACATAGTTTGTGTTGGGGGAGTTAACAACTGAAGACAAAGTTAATTATGATTAGCCTTTTCTTCTGTAGCAGTGGTGAAGGATTTTTATTGCGATTGGAAAATTACATTTTTTATTGCGATTGGACTTCAGGCTTGTTATTGCGATTGGACTTCAGGCTTGTTAACATTGCTGTAACACAATGATAATAACATTGCTGTAACACAATGATAATAAAAAATAAATAGGGAGGTAAGCAGATAAGTTTGTTTCAGTCCTTTTAGGAACTGCACTGGCTGTTGATAGGCTTCTGTACTGAATTCAAAGTGTTGGTGATCACATTTTAAGCAATAAATGGCTTAGGAACCTTGCTACTTGAAGAGACACTTTCTCTTATATATGACTGCCTGAGGACTGAGGACTTCTTTGGGGTTTGCTTGAGGGGCCCCTCCTTTTTGTTCCACCAGTGGGATCAATTGTGTGAGAATGAGGGAGAGGGCCTTCCTGGTTGCAGCATCCAAATTGTGGAAGGCCCTTCTGCTTGAAAGACCAATTGACTTCATTTGGGCACCAGATGGAAACAGCTGTATTTGTAGCCTGATTTACTGTATACGACTGACTATAAGTTCACCTCATGTATAAGTTGAGAACAGGTTTTGGGGCCAA